AGCCCTCAACCCATAAATCGCATTGGCCAAAGCCCTCAAGCAGATAGTGAGATTTTTGGAAGTAGTCTTGTGAGACCTAAACACATTAAGTATATTTAACAGAAAATGCAGCTAAACATCCTTGACTGCTTCACATATCTCAAATAATTGTTATATGGTTCTTTAATCATCTCATTCAAAGTTTCAAATTTCTGTTAGCCCCCACATGCACAATTCCTCCCCCCTTTCCCAGTGGAGCTGTTAGTGTCACGTCTCTAGCATACAGGACACCAGCAGATTAAGGAAGCTCAACAGAAGCACTATCTTCAACTTATTCCATCTTTCAAAAAAATGAGATGTGTCACGAGACACTCACAATGCATCACTATCTTGCTTTTATCTCCAGTTCTTCTCCTCCAAACACTGCTCTTTTAAAGTGAAGTTAAGCATCTACGCAAAGTGATGAAGTAATTATAAAAATAACAGTGCACGTGAAATTAGAATAATTCAGTGAGATGCAGCAAGTCTGTACAACTATAACAAACACTTAGTAGTTAGAATAAGCTATTGATTTTAGCTAAGTTGCAAGAATAGCAAGCATAACACGAACTGCAAATATTTGTCACCAGAAAATGACTAATTTTGTTTGATAGTTGGGCTACATACTTAAGATTTGTTTAGATTTAGAAAGCCTGCCTGTTATTTAAATACTATGTCCTCTTTTTAAGTGTATAACTTGATAATCAAATTCAAATACGTGGAGAGATGTGAAGGTTTACTCCTATTTAATGTAGTAACAATTACTTTACTAGGAATCAGGCTAGACAAAGGGAAGCATGGACTGGCACATTTTCCAGCAGAGAAGTAGATAGCCATTGACACAGCAGCCTTCAATGAGTAAAGAAATCCTAGTACTGACTGCCATTATGCTATGAATACCAGGAGGGCTCTAGTAGTTTAAAGAAAACAGCATGTAAATTTTCAGCTTAGAAGATGCATATTAATTATACTAAATAGGCATCTTCTCACAACATTGTCAGTATTTTACATTTGTAAACACAGCCTGTTCCAGTGGCAGTGACTAGAAATCCCTATTTATCCAATACAGAACAGAACGAACACAGAGTCAAATCCCTTCAAATAAGTCAGTACAGGAGTGTTTCAGTCATTACAGACAGATGATGACAGGGATGGAGATGCAACTATATAGTTTAGTCGCAACGTCCGACTAAGCCCTTAACCTCTCTTCTGAGACTTGACAACTGCAGGTTCAGTAAAGACTAATCTTACATCCCAAACGTCACTGAACTGTTGGACTGAAGAGCCTTGGCCTGCTATCTGATAAAAACTGGATATTCACGTCAGATACAGGAGGTTTTGCACACCTACACTGCAACGCACAGATCTGACTATCATTTACACAGACCTACCTGAAGAAGCTCCAACTATCTGATTTGGGAGTGGCAGCCACCTAACCACGGTAACGCAGGTTACACAAGCTGCACGGGACTGTGGCTAAATACTAAATGCTTCACTCACAGCGCTGCAGATATACTGTTGGACTGAGCACATCTGTACAGGACGAGGCCACACCTTTGGACTGCAGCTCTGATGTACCCAGGGGATTCACTTGAGCCAGTTGACAGCTGATAGCTTGGAAACAGCACTGCTAGGCCTCAGGCCAGGTCTGAATCAGTACTATTAGGACTGGAGAGTATTGGCTGTTCTGGTTTATTATTGTGCCCTTCGCAGAAAGCAAAGTTACACCGTGACATATTGCATACGTGCAGGTGCAAAATCACATACTGCGAACAGGAAACAGCATTTCCAATTGGCAGCAACTCACACAGTTTTGCGAGGAATTAATCCCGCGTTTGGCAGTACTGCTATTTGCCACTTGGGGAGCACTGCAACAGAGTGCTGAGTCATAAGTCCAGCCTAACCTGTAGCAAACCTCTAAAAACGTCTCTGAAATGTACCTCAGCCTATGCCATCTCCGTTTTTGTGCGTGTCCCCTACTAAACGCCACTCCCTTGATACTCTTCATCTGCAAAAAATGCAGCAGCATTTCAAACACCTAAAAATCTAGGCAGATTCTAAAATAAGTTATATTCTAACAAAATTTTACTTACTGACATTAGACAAATGATCTCTATTCAAGATGGGCACATTACGCTGAAATGACAGATCGACCTCACTGGGTAGCCATCCTCTGAAACGCATGAGGCAGTGCCCTACAGCACAAGTGTGGCACAGTAATTAACAGCTGTATCAAAAAGGATCTAGCAAAAGGGGCCAGAATTACACATCCTTGTCTAAGTTTAAATCTAGTAATTCCTGAAGTCAGCACCTTGAATATTGTAATCAAACTAATTCTTGGTAGATTGTTGGATGTTATCTCCTAGATTAAAAAAAAAAGAAAAAAGAAACATAAATGTAAATGTTGTCATGTGTAACAACAGTGGTGTTTTTCACCATTCACTACCAATAAAGTCCGAGCAATAAAGCTTTAGTTCGATGCTTTCCCACCTAGGCTGCAAGTCTGCAACAACCAAGAAGTGGAGGAAGTCACCGGCAGGACAGTAAAGCTCCTGTTTTACATGGCATCAGAGACCAGGGCACAGAAATGGGCACCTCCGGCCACATAATGGTGTCCTGCCTCCCACTATTCACAGCTGCATTTCAGCACAGCACATGCTGATACTATTTTGGAGCATGTGTGTTACGGTGTAGGAGATGCGAGGCTGGGAGGAAAGACAACCCCTGCTCATCGTGTTCACATGCTGTGAAAAAAAAAACCAAAACATTCTAGCACAAAAAATTCCTTTGATATTTTTGCAAGCAAGTCACAAACACAGTATTTTGAAACGGAGCGCCGAACAAATTTAGAAGATTGACTGCAAATTAAGGGGCTGCAAAAGCTTCTTAAAAAAGGTCTTCAATCCTTTACAAGTGAAAGTGCTGGCCAAGAGAGAGATGGTTGCAACCCCACAGTGACTGGGACACATTATAGAAGAAATCCTCATTTCAGTTATCTTATTCCCCACACCATTTTGCAAACATCATACCTCCCTCTAGATTTTACATTTAAGAACTACACAGAGCACTTTAACACCATCAGAGATAACTATTTTCTGCTTTTTCTACCTGTCTGCATTTTGACCAAGACCTTTATCCATCTCAAGTGTTTACAGTCCTACCTCACTGACATTGCTGCCCTACATTAAGCATCAGATCTTTCAGCGCACACCAGCAAGGAAGCACAACCACACCAGTTAGCAGCACTACTGACCTCTGTCAGTTTGTATCTACTGGTACAGTGCAAAGCAATGCTCTGGAAATAAACGCAACTATTTACAAAGGTGAGAAAATCATTACTGCCATATTACCAGGCAATATGCCATCACAAAACCAGTAGGACAAGAAATGCTTAGAGCAGAATTTACTTCATGAATATTTCAAATTGGCCTTTCCTGAATGAAGGACAGCGGTCAGCACTGCCTGTTAGAAAGGACTGTAAGACAGAATTTATTGCCAAGGCATATGAATGCTATCCACAGCATTAAGGCTGTTTGAACATTAATATTTAAGCATACTTTTAAACTAAGCCGTTTAATAGCTACAGTTAGTCAAGTAACATTTTACGTTACGAGGAGTATACACCGTGGGCTGAAGATCTGTCAACCAAAATCTATACGGTTAGTTGATTTAACTTCAACGGTTACTAATTATTTAGCCCAGAACCTCGACTGAAAGACAGGCAGCCTGACAAGTTGCCTGTATTTCAACAAAAAACAGAGTTCAGCTAGGTTAGGTTTATACCTACCCGTGATGAGGTAAAAAAACCACCCCAAACCCTGAATCACGATTCTGTTTCATTAGCAAGTCAGTGCCAATCAAGGCCCCACTTTTTGCCCACCTGAGTTTGGATTCACTCGCTTGTTGAAAGCAGTATTATTCAGAACAAGAGCTGATTTTCATCTAATCATACTTAACATGAAGAATGTTAAAACAACAATAGTTTCCTTCTTAAGCATGTTTGATACTGCTGCCATAACAACATGCAAATACTTCAGCTTACAACAAAGATACATTCATTCCACCCAGTGTTTATTACCATGCCTTTTGATAAACCCACTTTATATTATTACTTCTAATATATTTACTAATAAAAACAGGTGAAGACTTCCCCTACATTTGAAAATGTACACGAAATCTTTTTAAAGGAGTATTATTTTTACCAGAAGCCAGTAAATAAACCCCTATTTTAAAAAAAAGCGTATTTGCCAGATATTCAAATGAAGCTATAAAGCAGCTCTGACTCTGGTAGCATAAATAAACTTGCTGAATGCTTATTTGTAATCCCAGGATATTGTATTACAGTAGTGCTGTCAGGCTACAAGACAGGAATTTCAACGCTAGCGAGAACTCAAACCCATTCAAGATTTTTATTTAAAGAAAGGACGGATTTTCGCGCAGGCAGAGCATTCACGATTAATTTACCTAAATGGCCTGTCGAACTATAACAATAATGCGAAAAGGAGCCACGAAACGCTGCCCAGCACCTGGCCAGATGCCCCGTGTTTTCTGTCACGGCCCGGCCGAGCCTCCCGCACACGTTTCGGCTGCCCCACGCCCCGGCTGCGTGACAGCTCGGGGAGGGCTCGCCTCCCCCCGCCTCAGGGCCGGGGGTCCCGGAGCTGCCTCGGCGTCAGCTGAAC